ATGAAAATTAATGCTGTTACCATTCTGCATTTGCATTTTTCAATTTTAGCGCCCAACCCAGGGGTCGGTATCGACTCCGGGAGGGGTGTCGATATAATTTTGACGATGGCCAATGATCAATGGGTCGAGAGAGCAACAAAACATAATAAATTTCATATCTTCTCTTCTTTGTTATCCGTCGTTCATTCTTAGGATCAGGAGTTGTACAGCCGGTGCACCGTTCCGGTCCCCCGAAGCCAGAGGCCCCTTAATAAGTATCTCAATAAGCATATCGGCAAGGAATAAAACAAACTGCATTCCAGGCTTATTTTCTCTATCGCACCAGCCCTAGTATTAGAGGGCCTACCTCTTTATTTAAAAGTTAATTTTACACTTTTTGCATTTAGGGGCCCCATTTCGACATTCTGCACCGGGGCATTCTAGAAACTAAGTACGGAAGAAAATGCTACCTGATAAACGTACAGGAGAAATGCTATGGACGTTATAAACGCTCAACATTTTGTAACCATTGCCCCCCCCCCCCAAAAAAAAATCAGAAACACAGCTATTCAGAAACTGAAGCTTCTTCGATTATTGAAAATCTAGATATTAAATACGTCTTTTAAACTTGTACGTCCAATTCTGTATTATAATTATGTATGACATACTATGCATAGTAACGCAAGGGGGTCGATGGACCCAACAATTCCCTTAAAAGGGCTCGATGAAAAGAAAAGTTTGGGAATTGCTGACCTAACCTCTAAAGCACTATCACAAGCCCTCCTTGGAACAAATCCAGTCTAAGCTCGGGCATTTTTAGTTATGTGCGTCCGAGATGGTATGGATTTCGCCCAAAGTCGCGACGAAGTCTGAATAGTATGCCACTTCATGCCACTAACGTGCAGCGAGCCTGCAGGCTAGACGACTCGAAATTCTTTGTAGACGCTATGAATAGACGGAAACGGAAGAGTCTGTGAGAAGGCTTTGTTGAAACGCGAACCGAGGCTACTGGGATTCGTGTAATATGAGGCAGCTAGCTGATAATGGTAATAGTAATGATAATGATAATGATAATAATAATAGAAGATTAATAAAAAAATGTTGTTACACAAAAGAGATTTCATTCTGTTGGAGCAAAGAATTGGGTCCTTATTGTGGAATACCGATATTCTACAGTAAATTTTCTGGAACCTTTAATTTTTGTAAATATTCTAAATCATGTAGTTAACATTTTATAAATATGTAAATGGTACTATAATATATTAATTATAATATTTTATACAGGAATGAGTGAAACACAGAACATTTTATAAATTCTGAGACTGTTCTGTTTACGTCAATATAACTTTTAAGTCGTCGTGATTTCTTGCATCATTAAAATCATGACATTTCAATTGTTCATAAAAACCATGAAAATACATTGCCACTGAAATATAGTCTAAAATAAATACTTTTTCTCAGAATTTATAAAATGTCACTGGTACCATTCTGGTTTTATGACTTTGTGATTAAAAATTTAATACACGCATGGTAATTTTGAGCATTTTCCATTGCAAAAACTGAAAGAAACTGAACGATTACAATGGAACATGAGTTTCAGTGAAAACCTACTTGACTCAGGGCCAGTACTGAAGAACGCTATTTGGTTACAGTTGCAACATGAGTTACAGTATCGAGATGCAATCAATTTTTATTTTTCAGTACATAATTATTGATATAAGTAGCACATATTACGTCTAATTTGAAATAGTCGAAATTCTTTGTAGACGTTATGAATAGACGGAAACGGAAGAGTCTCCTAGAGGCTTTGTTGAAACGCGAACCGAGGCTACTGGGATTCGTGTAACATGAGGCAGCTAGCTGATAATGGTAATAATGATAATGGTAATAATAATAATAATAATAATAATAATAATAATAATAATAATAATAATAATAGAAGATTAATAAAAAAAATATTCTATATAAACCATTCTGGTTTTATGACTTTGTGATTAAAAATTTAATACACTCATGGTAATTTTGAGCATTTTCCATTGCAAAAACTGAAAGAAACTGAACGACTGATCGAAAAAAAACAAAACAATTTATACGTTAAAAACAGCTTGCGTTATAGTTTTGACTTTCTTGCAAAGGAATAAAACAATATTTCATGGGGGAAAAAAATAGACTGATTCACACAAAAAATAAAACAAGTACACATCTACTTTATTCATCTGTAATTTTCATGCCACATGCAAAACCAATAAAAAGTATGAATTTCCTATTAACAATTGAAAGTACACTAGTTACAATTTATACTTAAGAGACAAATTTGATTATTTTTAATATTGCACATGTTACAAAGCACACCATTCTCAACATGGAAAACAAAATCTCAGAAATCTAAGCTTTATATTCCAAGTTATAAATGGCATTTTTATTTAGTTAGTAATTTGTTTCAATAATACAAAAGTAAAAATAACTTAGATACATCAAATGATAAAACAATATGTGACAAATGTCAAAAATGCGAAATATTAACAAAAAAATGTTATAATTAGTAAATAGTTGTTTAAACGGTCCACTGAAACATTTTTTGTATTAAAAGAAATTTGAAAAATGTGTAGATGACATAAAAGTTAAAGGTTCCAGAGAATTGTCCATATATTTAAAAAATATATTATTATACCAAGTTAAATAATTTAATTAATTAAAATATTTTATTAAATAATTAATAAAAAATAATAAATGAAACAAAGAAAAAGAAAACAATTTTCTTTCTGTTTAAATGCATATTTTGAAAAAAAATGAGATTTTTATTTCTGGTGTAGATTTAGATTTATTCAGTTAAAAAAACAGTAAAAACTGTATGTGACATAGGGGGGAGAAGATTCTCCACACACTTTTTCTTGAGTTCCAGAATCCCTTCCCATCATTTTAACTATAAATAGTTGAAAGATGAGAAAAAGTTAAACATAAATAAATAAAAATAAATTTAAAAAATCGCAAGATTAGCAATATCTGAAAAATTTTGTTTCTGAGTTATAGAAAACTTATTTGCGTTGGTACCCGAATTGCAAGTATGATTTTTCTGCATTGCTAACAAAAAAGCAACTCTCCCTTACCTCTACTCTTACCATTAGAAGCAAAAGGAGAGTTCAACCAAATGTGCGCATAGTGAAGCTACATTTACGTCCAGAAGATAAACCTGATTGAGATGGGGTATTATTAGTCTTATTAGACTGTGAATTTATATAACTCGGAATGCAGCAACTCTTCCTTTTAACTTAATATTAACTTTTTCCTGTTTCTCACTCATTTTGAACAGATGTTTAAACATTCAATATAGGCTCATGAAAGGCACAGTACTTATTAAATTATTGCTAGCAATTGCCGCAAGAGGCTGCGTTAAGCAATAGTAACTAGGCATATATACAGTAACTTGTCAGAGTAGCTCTAAGCAAATAATTTATTTGAACATCTTTTTTTTGTAAGCAACCTTATTTAACACTGAAATTTACTTTTATCCACAATTCCCATACTATCGGAGCTCCTAGACACAGTCCTGTCAGTCCCTATGGAACTGACAGTGCATTTATGCATGCCAAAAGCAAAACCACAAAGCATTGAAACCCAAACTTGAGGGCTGAAATTCGGTTATTAACAAATTGTCTTTTCAGAAAAGTTTCTACATATTAATTTTTACGAGAATTTAATGCCACAGCTCTACGAGGCTTGAAAATGGATTTACCTTTACTATCTATACCATATTAAAAAATATTTGAACAATGCTGCCTGCAGCAGCAAATATGCTGCAGTACAAAGCTGCATAAAGTGGGTTTCTAAATCGTAGCACATGGACCTCTCAAGAAAAACAAATGAAATACTCTTCTAAAGGTTGTAATAAATTTAATATTTTAACGAAAACAGTCTTCGTGAACACTGCAATAACATAGTGTAACAGTTCTTTACATACCAAGAATATCAAAAAAGTTGTTTTATTATACATCACACAAATAGCAAATATTTAATTAAAGCAGCCTCTTCCTTGTATCCTTGCTGTCACATCTGCTGCCTCGAAAGTAGTAATGCACTAAGTGTGAATTTAATCTGTATATCAATATGAGAATAGGTGGAATGTCACAATCTAACTTTAGCATGTTTCACTTAAAATCAAAACAGATTCATTGCTTTTAGATTTTTTCAGAGCTCTTGGGTATCTAACAAAACCACAGACACCTCTTTCAACGTGGAAGGCTACAAAGATTTCAATAAAATTTTTTGTGCATATTGGAAGTAAATTACATAAGATTTTCTTGTATTTTTACTACAGTTCAGAATCTAATGAAGCCATAAAGCCTCCCTCATGGAAACAGGCTGCATAGATTTCTTTCAATTTCTGTGCAGATTGGAAATTAAATGTAAGAAATGAAAGGTACTAATTCCGTCATTGTTTAAAAGTACAGTTTCTCAGTCTTTAGTCTGAACATTAAGATTGCTTAAGAAAACTAAAAAGAACTAACACTTGAGGGATATCTGACACCACCAAGAACTTCAAAAACAGAGGTCATTAATATTAGCAATTGAATTGGTTAATGGGATTTATCTTTTGTAACCCAAAGGTTTTCTTCTAAATTATAACTTATTTCCAAATTTGAGGGAGAATGAATTATATACAATGTATATAAAAGAAGCAAAACTTCCTACTGAATAAATACAATGATCAGTTCAATATCTAGAAAACAATTTGTTTTCTTTACTCACACAAGGGTGTAGCAACCTTACAATTTATCATAACTAAACAAGATTTCATTAGAACACTTTGCAGTCAAATTACAAAACACATATCCTCTCATCCCAAAAACCATTTCTAGAAATTATAACCCAAAAGTAATTCATTGCAAAAAATAAATATATTTTTCCAATTGTTATTTTTCATTGCAATAAAATTTTATTTTTAGTATGTATCATGCACAAGACATGGCCAAGTTAAAGAATGGCAGTATCAGATAATATAATACAATATCCAATGTCCTTACTTCCATCCTTGTCAGCTCCATAATCCGTCTGGTTTTGAACATCTCCTGTGTCTTTTTCTTGCAACACACCTTCATCATCGGAATCACTATCACTTTTGAACTTCTTCACTTCTTTCCTGGGTATAAATTCATCCCAAAATGAATTTAAACCTAGTCTTCCCAGAGAAGCTAAATGCCTTTTTGATTCACTGTCCAAAACATCATTCTCCAATTGCCCTGACTCATCAACATTTCCAAAAAGAAACCCTGTCAAATCTATTCCTGGGTCAGAATCACTATCATTCATTGTACTGATTGTACACACCGAAATAACATAAAATAAACGAGTATTGAAAATGTAAACAAATTCGTGTTAATGTCTTGAAAATACTTAAAAGGGAATTTTGACAACAATAATAGAATTAAATTCAAAATCCTTATATAGCCATGGCCCAATTTTTTCAGTAATTATTTATCAATTATTAATTTCATAACGAATGTAAACATTGCATTTTTATGGTGGGTGAAAAACAGCACAAATCAACTATCGCATATACGTCAGCCTAGAAATGCAATCGCACGCTAATAATGCCACAAAACGAATTCACTTTCAACACGAAACCACGTAACATCTTACGAATATGAAATTATAGTGGATATTTTATTTCAGGAATTAAGTATTGCTGTGACCGGCGCTGCCACTAAGTGTACACAGCAACAACCATAATGCGCAGCAGATGCTACTGCTAGACTGAGCGTGACCAGCGTGCGACTACGACTGGGGCTTGCACCGGCTTGCACCAAAACAACGCGTTTATAAACCCATGAGCTACGAGCAGAACACTGCAGAACACAGTTCCCCCACCAGTCCCCCACGATGCACTTATGGCTCAGCGACCTCAACGCCTTTCGGCGACTCTGGCGCCGTTGTGGTGCTTTAGGGAACTATTACGAGCCGCGGTTCCGAGACGTTCGGTTGAATTTATTGGACAGACTCAAGTATACAGCCAAATAACAAATTACAGATAGGATTTACAACTCAAAACTATTACGTTTACAAGTATTACGCATGTATAGAACTTAGCAGAATATCATATCAAATATTAATTTTTTTTTTTGACTTCACAAAGAATTCACAAATAATTGGAATAACACTTGTATCTACATCTTTTAAATATCCGAAAAATTTTAGACTAAGGTATTAGTAGGGTTGTTGAGTTTTACCGTACTAATATTTCTTAAATTATCCAATAATGTACAATGTCATAATAAATGATCAGTGGTGTCATTCTCCACACCAGATTCACACAAACCTGAATTGACAATTTTGAATCTATTCAAATTGTGATTTAATGATAAATGATTTGACCTCAATCTATTAATAATTACAATTTCTTTTCTAGTTAATTTGAAGTGTTTAAACCATGGTATTGATGATGTTCTATAATAATGTCGAAGATTGTCTGTCTTTAGAGCGACCAAGATTTTCAATATTTGCAAAATTATTTTGACTACAAACCTTGTTTACAGCAACATCAGGTACTGAGATATTTAATGGGTAAACTTTCATGGCTGATTTAGCTTCTCTATCAGCATTCTCATTTCCATTAATATCAACATGGGCAGGAATCCAAGTTAAGCTAATTTTAAAGTTGACCTGTCTTGCATAATCACATCATTTCTTAATCTCTAGAATAATATATGATTGATTTTTAGTTCTATTACACTGAGATAGAGAAACCTGGACACTCTTCAAATCAGAAAAGATAATCGAAAAAGTAATTTTAAATTCAATAATCATTTTTATTGCTTCAAGGATAGCTAAAGCTTCAGCAGTAAAAATTGATATTTTACAATTGACTTTTAATTTCCTAATTAGCCTATTGCTGATGCTCCATATAGCAAAACTGACTGGGCACTTCAAATCATTTTTTGAACCATCAGTATACAGAAAAGTAGATTTCTTCTGAATAACATCTGGAAGACTGAAAAAATGATCCATAAGTAAGACATTTGGGCAGGGAGAATTTGCAATTTCCATACCAATATCAAAGTTAACTTCTAATTTACTAAGCTGTTCAAAATAATCATACTCATAGCAAGGGGTAAAATGAAATTTCTTAACGCTATCACAAGAAATGGATAATTCCTCAAAACATGTAACTAACAAAGATTTCTTATTATTTTTCTTATATAAGAACAGTTTTGAAACACACTTTATCTTGGACAGAACATCAATCAAATAATTGTTTTTAAATTGAAGACATCTAGTCAAGTAATCCATACAGAAAACAGTCTTGTCGTCAGAAGAGGTTCCCCTGATTCTGCAAGGATATCATTGGTTGGTGTAGATTTTCTGTAGCCCAGTGCAATTCTTAACTACTTACATTGTAATCTTTCTACATTAATCCAACTGTTATTTGCACAATTACCAGCAAATGCCTCCATATTCTATATGTAAATGAGTCAATGCTCTGTATATTAGCAACAGAGTACAAGGGTCTGCTCCACACCATGTTCCACATAACAGCCCATAATTCTGAGGCCTATATCAAAATTTTTTATCACACTACATATGTGTTCTTTCCACTGCAGTAAGTGATCTAGAGCCATGCACAAGAAAACAGCAGAAGGAGAGCTATGAACAATTATGTCATTGACATAGATATAGAATTTATGAACTTTTAAATACCTCTTGATAAATGCAACAAACTTAATTTTTTCTGCTGCTAGGAGAAGGTTTCTCCTTTCTAAATATTGACTCAATGATTCTACAGCATCCTCTAGAATACTGATGGCCTCTTCCACTGGGTCTGTTACTGAATAAAAAGCAAAATCATCTGCATATTTTAACATGAACACATCACTTGCTAATAAACTTTCCAGTTTGTTAGTGTAAATAGAAAAAAGAGAGGGCTCAGAATACTTTCTTGAGGAATGCCCTGGCAAGCTATGATATTCTTTGGAGTAAATGGATAATTTATACAATCTAGGTGTCTTTCAAATATTATGTTGAAAATAAAGTGAATGAAGTTTTTAAAAATACCTATTTCAATCTGGTCCTAAATTAATACTGAAGGATAAACATAATCAAAAGCCTATTTGATATCTAAAAATAATGTAGGTAGATCTATTTTTTAATAAAATTGGTGATCAATCTCAGAAACTAGGATAGACAAGTTATATTAGTTCGATATGATCAAGCCACCATACTAATCTATCGTTAACCATTCTCTCTAAGAGTTTAAGCAGATATAATGACATAGATATAGGGCATGCACCTTTGTTATTTCCCCTTGAGATTAGTAAAGATGAGAAAAGTAATTAGTACTTTCTCCAATCTCTTAGAAATTCATTTTCAAAAGTAACATCATTATAAATGTCTAAAAGAACCTTTAAGATTTTTTCTGGTAATCTTTTTGAAATTTCCAAGTGCATTTTGTCCATACCTAATGATGATTTAGTATTTGCATTGTCAAAACATTAGTTAACTCTATTAACGAAAATGGACTATCAAGGAGTTCATTAGTTTCACATGTAGAGAGGCTGTGGTATATATTTCCTTAAGTAAATCTGGGCAGGTTTTATTAATCCCAGCTTTAATGTCATGAAGTGTTTTCTCTGAATTAAAATCGGAAATATTAGAAGATCTACTAAGTTTAATTTTGAAAGATTTTATTCTGTCTCAAATGTATGATGTGTCACTATCTCTATCAAGTGAACTACAAAATTTGTCGAAACATTTGCAAAGGACAATGAGAGCTTGTTTTCTATCTTTAATGCCTTGTTAATGATAATGATAATAATAATAATAATAATAATAATAATAATAATAATAATAATAATA